GGGCGGCAGGGCTGGGGCGGGGGCCGGGCCGGAGCGGAGCGGGGGGCCAGAGAGGGGGCCCGGAAACCGGGGCAGGCTCCGAGAACCGGGATGGAAGCCTGGGTCTAAGCCGGAGTCGAAGAGTGAGCACCGGAGCAACTGAGTGCCGCTGGTGGTAGTGGTGGTGGCAATGCTGCTGCTGCTGCCGCCGCCGCTGCCGCCACTGTCGCCCGCCGCTGGGGCTCACTGGGCGTGCGCGCTGCGCTCTTAACGAGGAGGGCGCTGCGCTCCGCTTTTATGGCTCCACGGCGGACCACGTTGAGAACAACAACAGCCTGGTCCGGAGCCAGCGCCAACTTGTGCTTCTTGGAGCCCCTTCCCTGGCCGCTGGCTTCACGGCCTGTGCCTCCCCGGCGCCGCTGCGCGGGCAGTCGTGCACCCGGGACACGGCCCGAGGTCGCAGCGCAGCGGAGAGGCGGCCTGCGCCCAGGAAGGGCTCGGCAAAGGGGAATGGAGAGGAGCACCCTAGGCTGCGGGAGCGCGAGAGGAGGGGGGCACCCCGTTTGGGAACGAATAGCGTGGGCCCAGAGGGAGGCCCCACTGCCCGGAGCTTAGCTGTCCGCAGCCAAAAGTATGCCACGGACACCCGAGCCCTGGCCGGGCCCAGGGGGCCCCAGACCTGCTCGCAAGACGAGCTTTAATTTGTCCCAACTAACACAGGGCACGCCCTCACGTGGTCGGCTGGGGCAATGTGAAGTGCACTAGGACATCTCCGAGGGGGGTCTCCGCCCAATCCAAAGAGGCTATCGGGTGGGAGGCGCCCTTCAGCTGCGCGCCTGGGGTCTTGTTATACCTCCGAGACATGGGCGCAACATCGAGGGTGAGGGACGACCGCGGTACTTCCTAGCCGCCCCCACTCCCGGCCTGCTGATGCTCCAAGTACCCTATTTTGTGATGCCCCAGTCGCCGCCACCATGCACCCCAAAGCCAAATGGGGGCTCCAGGGTGGGGCAGAGTGGGTGCGTGTAGGACTGCGACCCTCGGAGGAGCACCCGTGGAAGGATGGGGGAGGGGGATTGCTCATAGTGCCTTCCTACCCTTCCCGCTGTGGTCTGGGGAGGAAAATTATCCGGGGGACACTGCAAAGGAGAGTGGGTCTCGCGGAGGGGCCTCCAGGCTGGACCTGGTGGGCTGAGGCTTGTGAAGTTCCTCGGGGAGACCTGTGCAAGCCTGAAGGCCCTGAGCTCTGCTGAGTCCAGAGTTAGGGGTGCCGAGGAGACACCGAACAGCCTTTCTCGAAGCTAAAGAAACCTCCGCTGGGGGAGCTGAGATCACGGGAGACGCTTGGGGGAGGAGAGAGGATCCTTTTGGGGTATGTGACTTTAGGGCCAGGCATCCGTGAGGGTCTGGCGGGGCTGGGGCTGCGGACAGTAAAGCGGTGGAGCAGGACAGGACCCCAGGGAACTGGGGTTCCAGGGTTGAGAGAAAGGCTGTTTGCTGTAGGGGAGAGCTGGAGGCAGTGAGGTTCCGAAAAATGGGCGTGACCTAAGTCCCAGTTCCACAGCAGTCTCCCCCGAGTGATTCAGTGGTTCGCCCTGGTCGCTGCTCCTCTTCTAGGCGCCCACCCTTTCACAGCGCTCTCACAGACAGACTCCCATTTTGTCCTCCCAACAAGCTAGAGAATAAGCCCCCAGAGATGAGGAAACTGAGGCTGGGAAGGGTGAGACTGGGTTTTTCTGGGGAGCGGCACAAGAACACCTGAGCCTGGATCATGGCAGAGGTTAGGGCTTCTGCCCCTGGGGCAGTAAATGCTCTGTGAGAGAAATGGGGAGGCAGATTGGAGCCCAGAGCTCTGCAGGCCTGCAAAAGAGACCCCGCCCCTCTACCAGGAAGAAGGACCCACTGAATGGACTGTCTTACAAGGGACGGGTAAACCTTGAGGACCCGAGACCTCAGACAAGGTGACAATAGACCATCTAATTTCCTAACAGAGAGGAGGAATGGGTTTCTGAAAGTGCCACCAGCTGTGAGCCTTGCAGGCTGCACTGGGGAGTGCCAGGGGCGTTGAAGTTCGTGCCCAGCTTGAGGAAGGACCTCCAGTTCTGGAAACACAAGGTCTTTCTGGATGGGCTGCGTGGAAGTGCAGGGGCAAGCGTGTAATCAGAGAGCAGCAGCCAGATGTCGATGCTGAGGCCAGATGGGGCCTGCAGGTCCCTAGGGCCCACTGAGCAGCAGTGTCCCAAGGAACTAGGAGCCGTCCAAGGGGTCTGTCATGGGGAGATGATATGGCGGCCATATTTGAGATGCATATCTGGTGGAATAGGAACAGGGAAACCCCCAGAGAGAGCTGGCCCAAGGAAACTAACTAGATGGTCTCCATGATAGGTAGAGGGGGACAGCCGGGTGACTGGCAGAGATGAGTTTGTGCTTGGGTCTCTTGAATGATCAAAGGGGAGAGTAGAGGGTGGTAGAGGCTGATGAAAACCCAGCCATGGGACTGAAACTTGTCCAGCCACCCATGGCGAGAGACCCAAAAGGTCACTGGAAATGTGAATCTGGAGCTGGTCAAAGCAGGAGCCTGGGCCGGGGATATACCCCTGGGCCAACTGTTTGGGGCAAAGAGAGGGCGCTGGAATGGTAGAGAAGGAGGCTGTTCTGTTGGAGACAGAGGAAGAACAGTCAGAGAGGAAGGAGGAAAACCAGGTGTGCCTACCATGGAAGCTTAGGAAGAGAGAGTTTCAAGAAAGAAGGCTGGTCCACCCCAGCACAGCACACTTGACCATGCAGCCTCCAGCCACGCAGGCCCAGCTCACCAACCCAAGGGCCTCCAACTGGGCTCTTCCCGTTTGGGGCAGTTTTACAAAAACCAAAATTACTTCCTGGAATGAAAAATCTGGCAATTTCAGATAAAACTGCAGCCCAGATTTCAGATTTCCCTTAACAAATCTGAAGATTCTGCTTGAGGGGCTGAGCAGCAGAAGGTCCCTCTAGATGGGCCTGGCTCCCAGCACCTGGGTCAGTGTGGGTAAGAGTGCAGATCCCAGAGGCCTGGCCATGACTGGAGGAAGAGAAGAAATCCAGGGAAGGGGAGACACATGCAGGCTAGATAGTGTGGCCCACACCTGGCGGGGAGGGCCCCAGGCAGCCTAGGGAGCAGCTGGGTGGGCTTCTTAGCCTGGGCAGTGAAGGGCATACATACTATCACTGAGAGGGGGCAGCCTGTGACAGGGTTTGAGAAGACTAATTCTTTGGGAGCTGGTAGAGGGAGAGTCTCATCCCACTGGCCTCATTATACATGTGAGGAAACTGAGGCCTGGGGAAGGGGTATAGCGCTTTGTCCAGTTAGCCAGGAGGAGATCAGGACTCTAGAGCTGAGGTCCTGCCAGTTTCAGGGATGCCTCTCAAAACCCGTCACCTCCCTAAGGAAACCATGGATGGAGAAGGCCCCAGGTGGTCGACAAAATATGACAAAAGGAGCGTCTAGAAGTGGTGGGCCTAGCCGAACCCAGGGCAAGACTGCGTGCCCAGCCCCAGATAGGGAACCCCTTCACTGAGGCTGCGCCAGACTGGAGGAAGCAGTGGGGCTTCTGGGTGCAGATTCGGATGAAGATGCCTTGATGGCTCATCCTCCTCTCCCCTCTCTCCCAGGTGAGCGTGTCCAGTCCTGGGGCCCCAAACACCATCCATACGATGATAACCCCGTGTCTGCCTCCAGCCCTGACTCTGTCTCGCAAGTGATCTCAGACCTTGCTACTTGCTGACACCTCCACTTGGATTCTAACCCACATCTATGTATGTCGCTAAAACAGAACTCCTGGTTTTCTCGTGCAAACCCTACTTTCACAAAGAGTTCTAGCCAGAAACGTGGGGCTCCTCCCTCTCATCCAATCCATCGGTTCCCGTCAGGTCTACCCCCAAAACCTACCGAGATCCATTCAGTTCACTTCCCCCAAGCCACCATCCTCTTGACCCTTCCATTATGGCCTCTCCAGGCCTCTGCGCAGCAGGGGAGGGAGATTTTAACTCAGAAATCTGATCCCCTCTTACTTCTGCTTAAAGACCTCCAACAACTTCCCCTGTCTGCACAACAGCCCTTCATGCTCCCAGGGGCTGTGGCCTCAGCGGCACTGACCTTTTTGTTCCTTACACATCACAGAGGGCTCCCACCTCAGGGCCTTTGCTCTTGCTGTGGGAAGGCTCTACCACCAAGCTAATTCTTCTCATTCAGAGCTCAGTCCACAAATGCCTCTTCAGAGCAGTCTTCCCAGAACTCCCATCACACTACCCGACTTGATTTCCTTCATAGCACTTATCCTCGTCTGACCTCTTCTGTCCAGTCCTTGTGCACTGTGAGCTCTGTAAGAGCGGGGCTGGGTCTGTGTTCTTCCTGCGGCAATCATCGCCAACACTGGGCAGCCCAGCCTGGGCCTGGCTGACCAGGCAGTGGTCACTTCCTCTCAAACTGGTCCCTGACAAGGCTTTGCCCGCAGCAGTGGCAAAGAGGGGCATTGGGAGTCGGGAGTGCTGGTCTGGGCAGACCTGGCTCCCCCACAAACTCCAGGTATGATCTACCCAGCCTCGGTCTCCCCATTTGTTAGAAGATGCTGGATGCAGAACATAGTCTCTAACCCAGATGAGCTCATCGGGCAAGGCCATGGTGGAAAGCTCAAATAAGGCCCAAAACGAAGTTCTTTTCTTTGTTTTAATTTTTAAAAAAATTGTTGTTGAACATATGCACAGCAAAACATACACCAATTCAACAATTTCTACATGTACAATTCAGTGACATTGATTACATTCTTTGAGATGTGCAACCTTCTTCTGAGTTGTTCCTCCCCCTTTAACATAAATTCACTGCCCTTAAATTTCCTTGGAGTTGTTGTGGTCAGTTTGATCCCATATAGATAGAT